CCAGAAGGCTGAGCAAGCCGAAGTTCTTTTTATTTGCCGATTTCCCCAGAATTTTTGTTTGACTCGTAAATAACTGGTCACAAAACTGAGCATTATCCGGAAGAAATGTAATCTGCATAGTGAGCAGGCGAGGGCTTTTAGCTTTTAAGATCGAATGAACAAAAGATTGGGTGAAGTTTTTTTGACTACAAAACGCTGTCTAATGCTTCGATAAACCATAAGAAAACAAGTTAACTTTTGTCAATGGGATAGGCGGGGAGGTACTGGGAGCTAAGTATTCCCCAATATTTGGGGACATTATTCTCTTCTGAGTTGCAGTTAGTTGATCAATTAATAATTTCAAGCTTGAACGGCCCAAGGATGGTTGATTACCTGTTAGGTTGGGGATTGTGTGAATCTCATCGCTGCTACGGGCTGTGTTTGGCCGGACTGATTGAGAAAAATAATATTTGAGTGGTGGGGGGCAGAACGTTTTCACACAGTACAATTCAAACAAAATAACACCGGAGAGAATGAGATAGTCATCAGTAATTTGAAATTATTCAAATACAGAACATAATAAACCAATTAGTACAAATAAAATTGTTATATATATTCTGCTGTATTTGCATGATAAAGATACACTGAAATCGAGGTTATTGGTCATTTGGTATTCATAAACAGCTCAAATGCTTGATCATTTCAAATCGCCTTATCTCCCTCTCGCAGCACTGCACAAATCTGGTGGGGTATCCAGAGTAGCAATGCTGAGGTTAGGCGCAGAGTTTTAGATAAATGCGGTCGTCCACCGGAGCAAGTGATCGACCACCATAGATTACATTGTTTGGGGTTTGTGTTACGCATGTCACTAGATAGGTTGCCACGGCGAGCGATGTTCGCCGCGGCAGTTAGTGGGTGGAACAAGGTCAAGGGTGATCGAGCTACGACCTGGAATGAGAGCATGAAAACCCTAACCAGGAGTCTGGATCACATAGGCCCCGTTAGGCTCCCTGGATGGGAAGCTCGGGATTATCAGACCTGGTGATTAGAGACGCTGAGTGATGTGGCTGGGTGTCGTGAACAGTGGCGTTGATGCATCTTGTCGATTTCTCTTCAACGAAATCTTAAATTTTCTCTTCGATCCTACTTTCAACCGTTCCTGTCCTTGTCTTCATGTTCATTCGAATTGGCAGCCGAAAGACAGCAACCGATACCGGCGCACGATAGTGCATAGTGATTGGTTGTTGAAACTGAAACTGAGAACTGAGTTACCCACTCAATACCTACGCTTTGTGGATTTCAGTCGGACTGGTTCAGAAAAATGTTTGATTGGTGAAGACGGAACGTTTTCACACAGTACGTTTCAAACAAAATAAGACAGCAATTAACGCGTTAGTTATCAGTAGTTTGTGATTATTCCAATGCATCACATGATGTACGAAGAATAAATTTAACAAATATATAGCGTTGTTCTGTTATTATTAGGATGCACATTATTCGAGCTTGTTGGTCATTTGGCAATTATAAACAGTACGAATGCTTGATCGTTTGAAATATTCTATCTCTCTCACTCTCAAATTGAGACAATTAAATACCCTCTCATCCTCCATGCTAACGGATTAGATCATACTCCGAGATTTAGTCTCTCCCTACCTTGGTGATATTCGTCCTTTAACCCCTCCCTCTTTTATGTTTTGTCTGTTTTAATGTATTTTGCTCTACTTTGTTACTATGCTAAAGCCCCATATAAACATTGTATTTTCTGCAGTATGCACCATATTGAGATGCAGCGAAATTGTCCTGGACATAAATCGAGCAGTATCGCCATATAGTCTTTTCCTTTGAAATTAATCTCGTCAAAGGCTTGTTTCAATTTGGAATCCCTCAACCTGATACCAGACTGGCTGAACACCAACTCATAATGTTCATGATACTCTTCTCGTAGAAAGTAATTGCCAGTGGTCTAAAATGTGAGCTATTGCCTACCTCGGACGGTTGTCCTTCTACATCCGCAGCTTAATGCAAGTTACTCTCAAGCAATCGGTTATTTCTCAAACTATCAATGTCTATTACCTATTATTTTTAATTTCTTCCTTGTCGTCTGTACCAGTTTATTTCAAAAAGATTTCACCAAAATTTATCAGTCGGTTTGCACTTATTCAGAAGGATATTCTTATTATTAAACTGTTCGACTTGAATTATGTTTCTTTTTAATCTTTTGCTCGTGAATTTTTCGCTGATTGCACACACCATCTTGCATCTTGCACGGTCTGCCAGTAGACCACAGATCTCGAAGTTCAGTATATAATCCTCGGTTCTTTTATGTTAAACTGTTGTTCCTTGTTTCACATTACTTTGTACTCGTCCCTCTAGATTTTCTTCTCATTCCTTTCAGCTCCGGTCGTCTATTTGTATGTTGAATAAGGCCTAGATATCGGGTCTTTGTCTTCTCTCTATTCAACGGCTGGTACAATCGTCTCTCACAGCAATTTATTCAACAAACAAATTATCTGAACATGAAACGCTACCCCGGACCCGAGAGATTCGTTACGGACTCCAGCACTTCTAATCTCTCGAAAATACCGCAGCACTGGTTTTGTACCTTCGACAGATTTCTTGGTAAAATTGGGTTTCCTCTACGAAAACTATTCATACAATAATTTCAAACTCTCTTTCCTTTCACATTTGTGTGCGGATATATTACTGGGACTTGGTTTTCTGAACCTCCATAAAGCGATTGAAATCGCGTTCAGGGATAATGGACACTTTCTTTCTCTTAGTAACTGCGTAACTGCTTCACGTATCGAACCATCATTTCTGTTCGGGAACTTCCTGCCGGATTGTAAACCCATTTCAACCAAAACACACCGCTAAACTCCTGATGGTGAGAAATTTTTTTGATCGGAAGTTCGTCGCCTTCTTAAGGACGGTATCATTGAGCCTTTAACTTCACCCCGGCGAACACAAGTCCTTGTAAATACAAGTGAACGGCACAAGAAATGCATGGTGGTCGACTATAGTCAAACTACTATTGGCTACATGCTCTTGGACGCATACCCACTACGGCGAATAGACGAAATGGTGTCTAGAATATCACGAAATGCAGCGCCTTACAACGTCTTACATTTACGAAATGCATTCTACCAAATCACTATGGAAGCAAAAGATTGACCATTTACTGCCTTTTAAGCATGCGGCCAGTTCTATCAGTTCTGTCGAATACCTCTTGGAGTGACTGATGGTGTCGCTTGCTTCCAGCGGGCAATCGATAAACTTATTCAGGAGGAAAATCTGTCGGGCACCTCCGCCTACATCGACAAAAATACAGTGCGCAGACTGTACAAAGAAGATCATGACAAAAATCTTATGAATCTTTTCAACTCTCTTTTAAAATATGGGTTTACTGTAAACAAAGAAAAGTGTCCAATTGGTACCAAAGAAGCAAAACTCTTGGGTTACGAAGGTTTACACAGTTTGATGAAACCGTACCGTGAACGATTGAAGCCACTTCAAGAACTTCAACCTCCAAAAGACCTCAAATCGCAACGCCGGGTAATCGGTTTATCTTCATGTAACTCCCATTGGATTCCTCGATTCTTAGATAAGATACATCCCATGGTACATATACACATACTGCCCTTACCAGAGGACGTCAGAGTATCCTTTGAAACGCTCAAAAGTGAACTGGCTAGCAAAGGTCAATCCTCTTAGTGACCAACGTCTATATATTCCGAATGTAATGAATCCTCAATCCCCGAATTCGTCTCTCAAACACCTCCTACTCCGAATCCTTATTGATCAAAGTGAAGCTGTTAAATCAATTGGGGTTCAAACCATGAAGGTTGAATGAACCCTCAGTCATTAATCCATAGAAAATTAAACTTGTTTGAGATACACAAAATAATGCTGTAAACGGCAAAGCAAAACAAAAGATTGAACGGATTAACCAGTCAAATCCATTTTGTCACGTGTGTGAAAAATTTATGAAAATCGGCAGTTATCACTTGGAGCCAACATCATCCATCGAAGAATGGGACGACAAAACCCATCACAGATTTTACATGGGGCCGCAAATCTCATTAAAAGGCACCGAAACTGCCAAAATTCGCAAATCTCATTACGAATAGGGGACAAATCGATTACCAATAATCCCAAATTTATCCCATTCAGCATGCGTGAAAGATAAAAACTGTGGCTGAAATAAGAAAGGAATTCTTTAAAAAGCAAGAAATGTTCCGTATCTCGTAAATTTCATCAACAATAAATGACAGGTTTCGGAGTGCAACCTAGAAAATTCTGCACACACAAATGCAACTCAAGAATCAAATGACGCAACAAAAAGACCACTTTGTGACCTGAGAACGGATCGAAACTGCAATCAGGACGGATGGACAACCACCTCGCCTATCAACCGCACCGCCGCGCACTAGTTTAACGGCGAAAAGAACCGAACACAATGAGAACAAGGGACAAAAATGGTCGGTGGAGAAGAACACATTTATAAGTAAACGGATACAAGCAGAAGAGTGCCACTTCACAAGCACTGATGATTTCACCTCGCCTGGTGATGAAACATTTGTAAACAAATTGCCAAGCTCGGCGAACAGGCGAAATAGAATACTGAGAGTGCACCAATTAAAGGGTTTTGTGTCAAAACAAAAGTGCAAAATCTTGTACAATGTTTCTATTCATGTCGTTCTCAGCTGGTCTCAAACTCCTGCATGCATTTGTGAATCTGGACGGAGAATTATATTTTAACCATCCAAATAAATGAACACATAAAAGCCAAATTATCATTCATGAGATTTGGTGAGTACCGTATATCGGGAATGAAAAGAAAGTTTGCAATTCCAAGGAAATAAACGTTCAACCAGTGTTGTATACTGCAGTGAATTTTTGAGTGACTGAATTTTTCACAGAAAAACAGCATATTGCCAATTTTGTTTTTCTTTTCAAGTAAAAGAGTTTCAACAAGCAACGCTTCCAATGCATTTGTGTGAGGCAACATTGAGCGGTTTACTTCACCGTTCAACTGTAGGTTTCGTATGATCAAGCACATTACGGATGAGATGAATTTGACGGAATTTCGAAAGGTATTTGAGCCACTGAGTTCGAAATGAATTTCTCAATATTGTCATTGTTGAAATTTCCACAAACGGATTGCAACCGGATAGTAGGGCAGTAACAAATATAAAGCACATGCGACATGTAGAATCCACACCAAAATCCAGCATATCGTAAGCATCTAACACGCTAAGAATGATCGTTACCACTTCAATAGCAGTCATTTCGACTGTCAAAAGGGTCACATTGAGAAATATTTTCCTTTGCGATTTAATCACGGATTGTGCAGCCTGATCTTCCTGATTCATCATGCTGACCACTGTGTCGCTAGAAGGAGTGCGTTTTCTTCTGGTTTCAAATTTGAACAACCCCATCCGATGCAGTTCACGGAATACCAGAATGTTTATCGACACGATCACCGTCATGGGTATTACATAACGAAAACCGCTGTCCACAAAGCTTGCTACCTGATTGGTTAATGAGTCCTCGTTTACGTCACATTTTCCATCTATATGTCTTACGCCGAAAAAGCGTGCAATAGAAGCCACACCGGAGTAGAATGCAGTGATCAGGAAGCAAATAGTGATATAGCGTTTTGCATTTATGCGATATGTGTTCGGATAGAGGACGGCCCAAAACCGATCGGCCGATTGGCAAGTAGTATTGCACACCATTAAAACGCGACATAATCGTATGTGGAATCCACTATCGAACAAAAAACACACGATCGGATTCACCGGATTATAGGGGGATCCAGGTGTAAAATTCCGTGTAGCTATCGAACTGGAAACTGCAAGGCAGTATAGAGCGTCAAGAATATTTTGGCAGTAAAGTGTTATCTTTGATAAGGAGGAATTTATCTGAGTATGAAAAAGTGCAAAGACAGTAATTAAATTAAAGGCAACACCAAATGAGACGATAGTTGCGAGGGTTGTTATAACGGTATCACTAGCCTCTTGGAATGCTAGCGGAATTGGAGGCTCGTCCGTTGTATTCATTCCCTCGCTGATACGCAAAACCGTCAAATTCGGATACGTGCGAAAAGCGCGATACTGTTCTGTTCTAGTGTGTGAACTCTAAAGACTAGAGAATTCAAACGGGCTTTATAAATTCTCATAGTACGTAACACGCAAAATTGCTTTTGGTCTGCAGATTTTCCCAATAAACCAATAGGGTTTCTCCTGCTTAGTTCAACCAATTAAAAGTAAACTAAATGCTACATGTCTTCATGTGCATCTTTTAACTGTCCCATGTTTAGATACATCCTTTTCCTTTGATAAATTTGAATAAAACAAGTAACTGAATATGAGCAGAATTGACATCGGCAGGCATTTTTGCGGAATGGATTGTGCGCATTCATATTTTGACCCAATCTTAAGTAATTGAAGAAGTCAAACTGGTAACTATCTTTCGTTTGTTGTTTATTTTGAGATTGCAAACGGGTGAATGACCCTGTGGTTTTCAGTGACTCTGAACAAATGGGGTCAGTTTGTCAACAAGGCATACGGTCACAAACGGGAAGAGACTACACATGCTTGTTCATGCCTTCATGGTTACATCAAATTGAGCCACTCCTTTTAACTAGCCGGCCAGAGGGCACCCAGATACCCATTAAACTATTTGAACATGCAACCGAAGCGTAAAAAAATTTGATACGGATCCCCAAAACAACAAAAACTTATGTTAGCTACTAAAATAAGAAACGGGAGACGCACATTTCGATGAATTCTGCCTCTTAACCCCGGGTGGGAACGCCAGCACCGCGGTTTGCAGGATACTAGTGGTAGGTACTTCACACAGTGGGTGTTATTGTTCTGGGAGCATCAGGACCGAGTGTAGTTTACTGAGGTAGACGACATGGATTTTACTAGTGTAACGTCTCAGCATTTTTTGCACAATATTTGAATAGATTCTTCAATAATCTTTCATGTTCACTAAATTTTCATTTACTTCTGATAGATTTCACTAGATTGTGTATAAACCTCATATTGTAATAATCTGTTTAATCGTGGCACTTGCCAAGCGCCTCAAATAGCTTCTGCTGAGGAAGTCCTACCCACTGCCTTCTCGTAGCGGAGGTGTTAACACTAAAGTGGGAGGGCAAAGGCGAACGCCCGGAGCTTTCCACCGGGTTGACTCACCACTGGTAGTCAGTCCAGGGGAGTTGGCTAAGCCCTGATTCCAAACCACCCACACCTGGCGTAAGAAGCTTATAGTGGCACCAGTCTTCGGCGCAACCGAACCGGCCTCCAAAGTTAATCTTTGGTAGTTGACCACCGTGACGCTCACCCGCAAGTGCGAGGCCCAACGGCAATCTGGGTACCCTGGATAGTTGGCCGCATCCAAAAGGCGTATGAGCTGACCCCCCCCCTATTCACCGGCTCCCAGAGGATCGTGGACTCCCTACTCCACCCCACTGCCTTGCGGGTTAGGTTCTTTAACCTAAGGCTCCTGGTAGGGTCCCCCNTTGGCCTGGGCAACCGGGTAGTACCACGCCCACAAACTCACCATGGACTTTGGACACAAATACACGCATGTCACAGATTATTAAACCTCTGCAAAGCTTTCTCTCAACATCTGCACGCAACACTCACCCACCCGCCACACAATACCCCGCACTTTTTCTACTGTTTACCCCACCCAGGATGGTTCCACTGACGTAGGTTCACGTGGTAGCTCGCCACTATCCTCCTTGACATTTGTCTCCGGACCGTCCGTTCAATTCCTCCGACCTCGCTCTACGTTCAAACTGGCTTCATTCAACGTAAGAACTCTAATGCGTATAGGACAACAAGCAGGTTTAGCTCGCACGCTCGAAAGTCTAGAGATTGATGTGTGTTGCTCTCGGAAACACGCATCCAGGATCCGAGCTCAGTGATCCGATTAACTTCTCCTTCCAACCCAAAAGAAGCGTTTCAACTGCGAGTCTCCGAAGCCCCTATTGCTTCAGCGTCTGGTCAAGCAGGCGTTGGTATTGCCTTAAGCGCCAGGGCACAGGCTGGTCTATGGGATTGCATCCCGATAGACAGCCGTCTATGCGCAGTGAGACTCAGAGGCTCCAGTAAAATCAAAAAGCAGAAACCAAATGAACGATGCTTATTCGTGGTTTCTGCATACGCTCCCACAGACTGTAGCCCGGATACAGTCAAGGACGCCTTCTATCGCAACCTACATGGGCTTCTTTTCAAAGCACCTAAGACCGATATCGTGCTCCTGGTCGGAGACCTAAATGCACGCGTTGATCGTCTGTCGCCTGATGAGATCCACCTTGGCGGCCGCCATGGCCTTGATAGCTGTCGTTCAGATAATGGGGATAGACTTCTTAGCATATGCTAAGAACACGGTCTGTTCCTCGTTAGCACGAACTTCAGACATTCTAAGCGTCACCTCACCACCTGGCGTAACCCCTCTTCGGTACAGGCGTGGAGTCAGATTGACCATATAGCTATTAGCTATAGATGAAGGGGGTGTGCGAAAGACTGCCGTTCGTATTGGTCTACCACCTTGGACTCCGACCACGCAATGGTTTGTGCCAAGTTGACTATGTTATTTGGTGGCCGCCAAAATATGCGATGCAAACAGCTCGACATCGTCAAGCTCTTTGACCCGGCCGTACTAGCCGATTGTCAAAACGAGTTGGCCGCAAGGCTAACTGCTACCCCACCAAGTAGCGTAGATCAACACTGGACAACCATCCGTTTGTGGGGGAACATTGAAGTGAGAATCAATTAGCTCTTACTGCTTTTGAAAAGGGTGAGTTTCTGATGGGCTTGGAATCATTGAAATAGAAAGTGTGTTCCACAAATTAATTAATTAATTAAAACAAATTGTTATTGTTACAAGACGGTAATGCAATTAGCTGTATGTGAAATTCCTTTAGCGAGAGACCAGAATTTTCGGTTACCGGTGGCGGAAGAAATAAATCGCGCAGCTTTGTGACAAATGAAAAGTTCTTTGGCTCTCTGGATAGTGACCGAGTATTATTTTTGACTTGTGTTTAGCGGTTGCAGGATGCTGGATTGGGTGAGTGGCGCCAACGACGGAATATCAAGTTTTCAAACGTACAGAACGATTGCAAGAATGATGAAGCTCCTAAGCGGATCGTGTTTGCCGAGTTTGGAGAACTTTAGAAATTGAACATCGATAACTTGAAGAACAATCTCCGTGAAGTTTGAAACCGACGTGGGAACATGACGTTTAAAACAGCAATCCTCCCATGGATAATAAACCAGAAATTCACAAAAGCTGTCCAAAGAGGCTGAGTTGTAACGCGAAAAATTGTGTCTGGAGTTACGGGATGAAATGGAGTAAGAAAAATGAGTGATAAAAGAAATGAGACGATGGTCCGATGAGCGTCATCGGGGAAAGGGGAGTGATGTTGAAGAAAGAACAGGGAACGAATTTGAGAATGAAATCAAGGGTGTCGGCGCGGTCACCAATACGATCAGGGGTGCGTGTGTGGACGTCAACTAGCTGACTTGGGTTGTTAATAACAGCGAAGGCTTTGACTTCGAGTGCCATGAACGCAGTGTCTGAGGAGTGCATTAGCCATTCCTTGTTGTGGACATTAAAATCTCTGCCAATGGTAATTTGGTTGTGAGGATCTGTTGCCATTAGTGTCTCAATGTTGGAAGATAGAATATCAAACATAGAACAACCGCTGCTGCTCGGGGAGCGGTAAACAGTACAAACGTAGTGGTTGTTAGAAAGAAAATGAAGATTCAGCCACATAAGCTGAAATCCATGGTTAGAGTAGTCTAAGTTCGAAAGTCGGGACCAAGCTATAAAATGATGACTCAGATTTAGAAAGACATCAAGTCAAGTCAGTAGTAGCATTATGCATCCGAATGGGTGAATTTTCAGCATTTAAACCATATTTGTTACTTAAAATTTTGCAAAACCACACATAAGGAAACTGAAAGCAAAATAAGTATTTGTCAATGAAGCAAGCAATGGCGGAATTCTGAGGAACGCTTCTCTGTGTCAATAAGTAGACGTGCTAAAATAGAATTAAGATGAGAAGAGGTACGTGCTAATTAAAGTTTTGAAACTTAAGCGTGTGAATGATGTAGATACAGTTTTTGAAAATTCGTTGTGCAATAGGTGGCATGTGTCTGAGTGTATTTTAGTAGCGAAATTTTCACATACATTTAGGTATCTGTCTATGATAGAATCCGAGAGTTTATTCTTGACAATGCCGCTACATTTAGAGGTGTGTACCGAGGCATTGCCACAAAGGGGAAATGGTATCTGACGGATCGACCCAACCTGAATCTCCTTGGTCTTGATTGGATCTAAAAGTTAGGATTATTTCATGTTCCCGTGATCGATTTATGCCATCAGGTCCACAAGCAGAAGAGCATGAACCACATCAGCACCCCACTATTTCATGTGCGATCGACTGGCCAAGAATAGAGGATCATGAATATCTTCAAGCGGGCACTTCAGAAATCAAAAGCGGAAGAGCACAACCCCGAAATGCGGACGAACATCTCCAAAGGGGAAGTATCAGGAGAAGCTTAACCTTCTCCTGAGAACTCTCACGGTATGAATCAGAAAAGGATTGGGACCAGCCGCCAGCGTGTGAACGTGTCGGTATTTTCTCAATGGTATTGGATACGTGAGTGTCAGAATAAAAGTACAGATCACGATGACCTGATTTATCGCAAGTCCT